GCCTGTCCAGGTCCCTCTGCAGCATCTTCCTGCCCTCTGGCAGATCGACACTCTTCTCTCCAGCTTGGTGTCATCTGCAAACTTACTAAGGGTAGACTCAGTCCCCTTAGCCAGGTCATCAATAAAGATGTTGAATAGGACTGGTCCCAGTACTGATCCCTGGTGGACACTCAGCTGCAGAGCTTTAGGAGTGTTTTAAGATTCTCCCTCAATGGCTGCTGCTGTGTTTAGTGTCCTTGGACACACAGTTGCATAACTGGCTTTAAAAAGTTGCTGAATTAGAACAGTTTGTTATAGAATTGTATTGCTTTTGGTCGTGAAACTTACAGGCTAGTTCAGCTGGAAGAGTATGCTATACTTTTATCATATTTATTTCCAGGGAGCAAGTGTGCAGTGGCTTTTCTGGAGGAGTTCCTTGTTCTTAGCTTCTCAAAAGTCAGCGTATTTAAAAAGTAAAAAAAAAGAGGGGGAGGGAAGGGGAGTCCATTCAATCCTCCTTCTTTATATTTTAGCCCCTTTAACAGCCAGGACCACAGAACTCTTCCAGGTCTTGGTGTTAAGTTTGGCTACATGAGTTGCCGTTACTATTTCTTTGTTAGTGGTGACCTGGCTACTCATGCAGCATTAACCCTCTGTTGACTGCACATATTAAAAAAGTGAATATGAAGCCTTAGGAACCTTTCCATGCTTTCCAAAGTGTAAAAAGGGTCTGAACAGATATATTTACTGAGGTTTTTTTGTCACACAGATTTGCAAGCATGTTTTCAATCCTTAAGAAACAGGACAAATTTTAGATAGAGCAGGCGTGCCTTCTGTTTATTTCAACTTTTGCCTGAAAATTTTTCAATAAACTTGGGAAAATCTGGGAGCTTTCTCACTCTTTAATGAAATGCACAGAGGAGAGGAGAGCACTTGACTAAAAAGTGATGCTTTCTGCCTAGTTTAAAAGCAGAGGATTTTCTTGATGTGTATATAGGCAGTTCTGACAATGCCAGGCTTTTATGGGCTGTGTCCGGCAAATCCATAGAGTAGGTCAGCTGAAACCAAAGAGGTGGCTTCTAAGCTGTGTGTTTCCAAACTGAGCTCCAAAGTAGTTGCCTGACTCTTGATGCTTACTGCACTCATGAGCATAGCCATAAGATCTTTAGACACTTAAATCCTTCCTACAGAGCTAGAAACATTGAGAGAAAGCATAATGAATCAACTTAAGTTGTTCTGAAGTACCTCATTCTTGCTGCCTGGTATTTTACTATGTAAACATTCTTTTCTTCTCCCTGCTCCATTTCAGCCTAGGCATATGACAGAAGCAATGCTGATCATAGGAAAGCTTCATTACGTGGAGGGATCCTACAGAGATGCCATCAGCATGTATGCAAGAGCAGGAATTGATAACCTCACAACAAAAGATGAACCTCTGTACATGCTGCGTTTGGTAACTGAAGCCTTTGTTATTAAAGGTAAGGGACTGTGCATACATATTTGAAGTGTGCTATGTTTAGGTTGACGTTAAAGATACTTCTCCAAGTGATTTGATTGGAGCGGAGTTAGGGCAATGCTGTGTGCTTTAGAAAATCCCATTGGGTATGGTCTGTGTAGTTTAAACTATGTAGTTTAAAGGCATTATGGAGTCTTAGTCCATGGTTTTTAAACTTGACTGGCTTGTAAAGAAAAGCTTGAAATTGGAAATCTTGTGGTAGCTGGTTGTAAGTCACTTGAGATTGTGTATCCATTTTGGTGAAAACCTAAATCAAGCATTCAGCTGAATTGAACCCTATGCTTTCCCTTAGAAAGGGTTCATCTACTTAAGAATTTTGATGATTTCTCTGAGTTAAGCAAGGACGATGCTTCCAAGTTTTAAACTCTGGACTAACAGAATATGTGCTTTCGAAGCAGGTAGTATATTTTTGCAATGCATGTCACACAGTATCAGACCTTATGTACAAACAGGAATCTCTCCTCCCTCTAATTCTACAGGTGTTGCACTGTTTGAGAGATCCTAATTAAAACTGTCTCTACAGGTAGTGAAATTGCATTTCCTTTTTGAGTGGGGGAAAGGAAGACCCTAGTCAGTTTTTGACTTGGGGGAAAAAAAGATTAGTCATCTTCTCCTTCATTTGCTTTCAGTTCCTTTATAAATGTTGCTCAAGTACTGCTACCTATCTACTGCTTTCTACTCTTTTCAGCATGTCCACCAGCTAATTAGGTGAATGAGAACTCTGATGATCAGATACCTTCAACTGGTATGTAAAAGAGTGAAACCAAATCAAGCCAAAATACTGTTTGACTGGGCTGCTAGTATTACTGATAATTTGGGTGTTTTGTGATCTCACACAGTCATTCAGCTTTTTTTGAAAACCTGTTTGTGCTGCTTTGCTTGCTTCGATATTTTTTTCTGTGGCACTGTTTGAATCTGCTTCATTAACGAGCTTTTGTAGAGCAGGACTAATTTACTTGTAACTTGCACTAACACTTGCATGGCACAGAAGAGTGAGTAACTGCCAGTGCACTTGCAGCAGGGTGTTTGAGATGGACTACTGGTGTACTCCGGAGCCTGAAGGAGATGCACTGTCCTCCCTGGGAACTGGATAAAGCCCTTGATGAGGTGTGAGTGCAGTGATAAGATATGCATGAACACTGATGAAATAACGCTGTTTCTGTAAGACCTCTTCTGTGATACTGATTATGTCACTTGCATATGAAGATATTGGGGGTGGAGGTGTAAGCCTTGGAGGATCAGGCAATGATTATTATTTTTTTCCATGTGATTCAGCAAGGAATGTAAATATTGTGTTGCTCCTGCGTGTGTTTGTAAGCTCTAAGGACCCACTGCCATTGCAAACCATCCTCTGTGCTATTCCACAGTTTTTGTCCTCAGTGTGATTATTTTCAGATTAGCCAAGATATCAAGAGTATAGTAAGTCAGTCAGTATTTTGCCAGAGTTTCTGACTGAGAAAAGTCTTGCAAGGTGGAACTTCTCCAGCTGAGTCTAGAGAGGGGAATCACTGCTAGGATCACTCTTTCCCCATGCCATGTACTCATGCTCCCAGTCTGAGAGAAATAATCCCATAAATGTTAGAAATTTGTATGGGTAACTATGGCAATAGCAGCGTGGATTTGAATTTTCATTTTGAAATGTGTTGGTCCAGGCTAACTCTGCAAGGCAAGCAACAGCAGAGAGTTGAATTATTTCAAATTCTTTTATACTTTATGCTAAAGATTTTTCTTATTCCCCTTTTTCATTTGATACCTCTACAGAAATTCTATTGATCTATACAGTATTACTACCTTTGCCTTTGGTTGAACCACTAGTTTTTTTATGCAAGCTGAAACCTTCTTTAAAGCTGCTCTTGAACATAGCTGGTAGTAAAATTTTTGTAGGGATAATTTAGGCAACAATCCAGAAAAGCCATGGTCGTGTCTTTATTTCAGGGAAGAAATTGGGTTCCCAGCTTAATTTCTTATTCACATTTTCAGTAATGGGAGCAATCAGTTGATTTAAATTATCCCTGTTCATCCAGCACCGGAACTTTGTATCATGTCTTAGTATGAACCTGAAACCACCTTGTTTTGTGTAGGTAGTACTACTGGGCTGTGCTGATACACAGAATGGCATTGTAGGTTCTCAGGCATTCAGGATTATGATGAAAAGGTCATGGAAGAAAGGAGAGTAAAATCAAAGGCACTAATGCTTATTTTACTATTGGAAACAAACAAAAATGTAATGAGAAAGATAACAGAATACACTGGGAGGAGGAGCATAGATGAAGTCAGTGGCAGATATGAAATGTGAACCAGCAACACTTGAGGGTTTTTTGTTTGTTTTTTTTAAGAGTACTTCTTCAGCTCCACAATACTGAAGGCTGGACATAGAGAGCTAAATCTATGGGGCCTTCCTCTGAAGGTCCATAGCTCCATAGCATGTAATAGGATGATACAGTAAGAAAAATGGGGATTTGCACTCTTGTAATTGAGCAGAATTTTTGCAGAAGTCTGACAGGGAAAATGTTTCTTGCTTGCCTTGCTCAGTAGACTTCCACCCAAGGTGGGTATCAAGCAGCAAACGAAGTTCTTTATAAATGCAGGACCTTGAGCAGTTGACACATCATGGGAGAAATGGCAGAGAGGGCAAGACTCTTCCTGTTTCTCCACGGATTGCTTCCGCTTGTCCTGTTTCTATATCCCTGCATTGTAAGGAGAGAAGTTATGTGAGCACTGGGAGTGGAGCTCTGACAACAGCTTGATTTTTTTCCCTCTGGCTAATTTTAACCTTTATGGTTGGTTAATATTGGTTGGTCTGTACTTGTCTCTGCAAAGTTAACTCCTTCATAAAACCTCTGCCCAGTTCACAGTACTGCAAGTAATCTCTGATGCAAACAGTTCTGTCTGTTGCATAAACTAGTATTGAGAAAGCAAACTTGCTCTCATTTTTTTCTCTTATTCACTTGAGAAGTGACATGGCTTTGTTAGCTGGTGTTGTCTGCTTAAAAACAAGCAAGCAAAAAAGTATTGAGGACACAGTGTTTAACTGCTGGAGCACTTTGGTTTCCCTCTGGCTGTGCTTGCTGCAGAAATCCTGAAGAGATCTCTCTTCCCAGTGGACAAATTTTCATGGTAGTAGGGTAAGTCACAAAAAGGAGTAGGTCTTATAAAGCACAATGTAACTACCCAGGGCTTCAGCATGCCTAAATTCCAAGTTTGTAGAAAGGCCTCTCTGTTGTTGCGCTGTTTGTTGCACAGCCGAGAGCTGCGTTAACTGAAGGAGGCTGTTGCCAGCCTGACTGGCGAAGGCTCCTGCAGGGCCGATGTGGCATAAGGGTCCTGGTTTTGTAATGACCGAGAGGGTCTTTGGCTTGTGGTCAGGCTGCGTGGCATCACAGCTGCTGCAAGGTGTCCTGTGCAGAAGAGATCTGTATGTCCACCAGGTCAGCTGTCAGGCCAGGCACTGGACTTCCTCTGCCTGGACCTGGGGTAGCCTGGTGATAGGTAGCTAACTAAAGCTGGACAGTGATGACATAGGATTACAAATGGTATACAGCTGATTTTCTGGTGAGTCAAAGCTTCAATATACCCAGTCCTTCTTTTTTTCCTTTTCTTCCAGTCCATCCTGCAGTAGTTTTTGTGTTGTTATTGGCTGTTTTCAGCTCAGGGTGAGATTAATTTGTGCAGCTCCAGTCTGAACTCCCTGTACAGTCAGAAGCTGGCAGTTCTGGGGTGATTCATCACCTTGTCACGTAACATCCAACACGGATCAAGTATGTGGTATTGTACAATACAGCCTCCTCACTGGCGACTGAGAGGAGACTGTCTTTGGTTTTAGGGATCTAAAGATGGGTGAGATGAATCTCATGTAAATTTATTTCTACAAGGTGGGTTTTTTTAACGTTAGAAAAGAGATCCATTTTATCGAAAGGCTGCAATGTGAGATTGGCCTTTTTAGATCTTAGGAAAATCCATGTGGAAAAGAATGAGGTGATAAAGGAGCCTTGATTGTAGTCTGTTTTGTTATAGCAAATCCAACCACAAGTGACACTTAAAAATGTGACATGCTTGGAAGGAAACAAGACTCTATTAGTGCAGTGGCTCAGAGCAATCTTTTCCTTTGTTCTTGATCTCCTTTGAGTTGCTGAAAGATGTTTAAGATGTGTCGTGTGGCACTTCTGAAATATTGTAAGATCACGAGACAAATGGCTGGATTGAGCCACTGGTCTTTAGAGCCCTCCTAAGAGCTGTGAATGCTATTGCTGAAAGCAAAACCCTGAATCCACCATGTGAAGGTTTTTCCTGAGCTTGATAATGATAAACAGTCTGGAGCTTGCATGCAGGGTTCTGGGTTCAGTCCAGCTGGTGGATTTTTTTTGTTGGTTTTTAATTGTTCATTTTTTAGGAAGAATTGCTGCACTTACGTGTTTTCCTGTTTCTCATATGGTTGTATCTTTTAAAACTTTAGTGATAACAGGAATGGTATTGCTTTGAAGTATATTGTACTGCTTTCTCCCCGTGTGAAATCTTTGTCTTGGGTTTGTAATACTGGAAGTGGTTGTTTTGGGGTTATGGTAGTGTCCTGACAGGAAAATGATGGTATCACACAGAAATAATAAACTGAAAACCTGACCTTTTACTCGGGTGACTTAAAAAGTACCTTATTGGTTTTAATCATTTTAAATTGACCAACTGAAGCCTAAATAATCTCTTTTGAACTTCCTTTGTGCTTGTATAGCTTAATGAATTTCTTATTTTGTTCATTTGCAAAACAGTTAAACATGTAGGACACATAGATCTGCATTCAGTAAACATGTCTGGCATTAGAATTTTTCATTCTAGCTTGTTAGAGGATATATAATCCACTTATTCAGACAATTTATTGGAGATTTTAATTTTGACATTTGTTTGTGTGTCATTCATTTTCTAGTATAACTTTCTACAGGATGATTAATTTCCTAGGTGATATTTATATTC